CTCTTTCCAGGATGCGCGCATACATTAATTTCTCATAAGGATTTCGGACGGAATTCTGTACAGGACTATTTCTAAGGGACGTGAGGGGAGACAGAGAAGAAAGGGAAGAGAGAGAAGAAAAGAAAGAGAGAAAGAGAGAGGAATAGAAAGAGAGAAAGAGATAAAAAAAAGAACAAAATCAAGTACAAAATACCAGCAATAAAGAAAACAAGGACATGTGCAAGAAAGAAAAATCAAGAAGAAATCATGAAAGAAAAAAAAAACAAATAAAACAGCAAGGAAGAAATAAAATAAGGAAATAAAAAGCAACCAAGAAATAAAGAAAATAAAGAAAAAAGAAGGAAAGAAGGGAGCAGGCAAGGAAAGCGGCGAATTTCGAGGAGTTTACAGAGCAAACTAACACGTGCGCGCACCTCTGAGATTGGGCTTCGTTCTGAAGTGCCCCTCACAGCCGGGGGGCTCCGGGTTGGGGAATGCCCGTCCCGTCCCGTCGTCTGTGCCCTGACGTGCGGCTTCGGACGAGGGTTTTCCCTCCCTCCTTCCTTCCTTCCTTCCTTTCCCTTCCCTTCCCTTTCCCCCAGCGGGCGGGTTTGCGTTGGAGGGACCCCGGAGTGGGACGGGCCCTGCGGGCGGCCGCGCTTCGCCGCTGCGCGCGGCCCGGCGGGGACACTGAGAAAAGAATAAAAGGGAAATACATCTACATACACATGTATATATATGTATTTATTTATAGTGCCGAGAGTTACCTACAGACGATGGCGAACCGCAAAATGTCTCCAAAGAGAAATTCCAGAGCGGCTTTTTGGGAAGCTCTCGCAGCTCCCTCCGCTCGGCTCAGCGGGCGCGTGGGCCCGCGCAGGTGACTGCGCGGCGCGGGCCGCTGCCCCGGGGCCGCCCCGCGTTGGGAGCCCCGCGGAAGAGGCCGCGTCCCCGCGATTTGTCCCGCCAAGTTCCCGGCCCCGCGCCCGAGCCCCCGCAAAGGTCCAGAAACAAGTAGCCTTGAGATTAATTGATTTAAATGGCCTTTCTTTTTTTCCCCCTTTTTTCTTTTTTTTTTCCTTTTTTTTTCTTTTTTTTTTGGTTTTGTTTCTTTCTTTTTTTTAACGGCGGAAATTTAATATATTTGGTGAAAAAAAAATACCAGCAAAGGGCCGGGAAGATTAACATTTGGAAACTTATGAAACATAATCTGCATATCCAATTGATTCCCAGCATATCAGTTGAAAGGATAAAGATGCATATCTCCATGATGGATATTGCATTAATGGGCACATAAATAAAGGTTGAAAAGTCATCACTGAAAGCTTTGAAACTTTTTTTTTTTTCCAGTGCTTTTATGTCCCATCCACACGCCTCAGCCCGGTCTTATTTATTTTTTTCTCCTCTTTTTAAAGACACATTTCCTTTCCTTACCACTGCTGCACGCTGCCAACCCATGATGGGCTCCCTGCAGGGCCAGTGGTGCCAAGGAGCTCGGCACAGAGAGGGATCAGGATGGAGGATGGAGAAACCTGGCCGAGGAGAAGCCCCTGCACAGACGGGTAAACTCCCCTTGGCCTGGCCTCTCGGCATCCAGCCCCGAGGAGCCAGGAGAAGCTGTGCCAGCTCAGGGGATCACCCCTCGGTTTGGCCCTGGGTGGAAGGGGGTGACTCCCCCGGGAAAGAACGAAAACGCTCCGGCCACTCTGGGGACCAACCTGACACGCTTGACCCTTTGAGCGGAGGGAGGGCTTCTCTACAGCACTGGCAAGGAAAGTGCGCTTTAAAATGCTGATAAACAGAGCACTTATTCCAGAGGCTCCTCACCTTCCTGCCAGGGCCTGCGGGAAGCAATGCAGCAGCTGCTACTTTATCCTATTGAACGCCCGCTGGGACAAGGGCAGGGATCCCTCTGCAATCGTGGAGCTGGTGGGCAGTGGTGAGGAGACCTGCGGGCTGCCTGCTAGGGCAGAAGCCTGCGGGGCAGCCAGGGCCTTTTGTGGGGTTTTGGGTCCTTGTGAAGTTGCCTCTGTGCGAGGGAAGGGCCTGGCGTGCAAAGCCCCATGCGGAGGCTGCACCAGGCTCCACTTGCACTTTGGCGGGGGCCGTGTGTGAGGTCAGGCCCCGTGGCGAGGCCGGGCTCTATAGAGGAGGCCAGTGCAACTGCGTGAGGACACACGTGCAGGAACTCTGCAGGACTGGGTGTCCTTCCAGCAGGAGAGGTGGCGGGATGACCTGCTCCTTTCCTGTAAAGGCATGGGAGGAGAGGGCAAGATTTATTTACTTATTTTCTTGTGATTTCAAAGGCTGACACTGAATTTCTGACCAATTTTGGGGAGGTGCTCCCCAAGGCTGCCCCGTGCCCCTTGCCCACCTGCGCATGTCATAGGCAGCACTCACGGGAGGGATAGTTTCCCTCCACCCTCCTCCGTAATTAACAGCCACATTTGAAAATGAAGCGTCTAATCCTTCTTAATTACTTGTAAAAACAGAAGCGATTATTAATTCCAGCAGTATCACCCGAGATTTCCACGGGGACCTTTCCTGCAGTAGAGACCATGAGGGTTTTACGAACGAGAGCATCAGGCTGATCAAACACGTTGTTCCTCGGAGTCGGGGTTCCCAGCGGTGGGGCAAGGCCAGGGCGCACCGGAACCGAACCTGGCTGAACCGAACCGAACCGGACCGGACCGGGCCGCTGCAGCCCCGAGGCTGCTGCCGCCGCCGGCGCGGGGGGGAAGTGCCCTCCTCGCACAGACATCGGATCCATGGGGGCGGAATTTCGCCCGCAGCGAGATGATTTCACCACTTGATTCTTTTAAAGATGAACTGGATTAAAATCTGGAAATAGAGAAAGAGAGAAGAAGAGAAAAAGGAAGAAAGAGACAGCGAAAAAGAAAGGAAGAGAGAAAGGGAGAGTAAAAGAAAGAGATAGAGAAAGGAGTAAAGGCAGAAAAAAGGGAAAGAAATAAGAAAAAATAATAAGAAAAAATAATAAGAAAAAAGAGGAAAAAGAAAAAAATAAAAGAAAGAAGAAAAAAAGGACAAACAAGAAAAAAGGAAGAAAAACGGAAAAATGAATAAAAAAGGAAAATTAGAAAGAAGAGGAAAAGCAAAAATAGAATAAAATACTTTAAAAGGACAAGGACAAAGGAAAAGAAAAAATAAAAAAATGTATAAGAAACAG